TGTCAGCTCAGAGAAGTCTTCCTCATCACCAAGGTCACATAGCCTCCCCTACCTCCTTTTTCACTCTCTGGCTCTTATTCCTGTTCCATTTTCCTCTTCTTACTTATTTTATTATTTATTTGAATGAGTTACTTGCTCTCCTCTACCCCATAGAATGTGCTCTTTATAAGGGCTCAGTCCATCCCTCTTTTGTTTGCTTAGTACCCGATACTCACATGATGCCAGCACATAGTATGTGCTCAGTTTGTTCCCTCAGTTCCTGTGAAGGTCAGTCCCCAAGCCTGCACTAACTGACCAGCAGTGACAGGTGGATATGAGTGGGGCCTGTGGCTGGAGCTGGAGGTGAGTTGAGAACACAGTATCCTCCTCATGTCCTCTGAGGCCCCAGTGGTTCTGAGACCCCAGACCAGCATTGAAGAGAGAGGCAGAGAAGAACTACATGTGCTCAGAGCCTGCTGAGACCAGGCATCTGGACCTCATGGATCTGTTTGCCCATTTCTTTGCCTTTTGCACTGAGGCTTCTTTGCAGCCCAGTATGGTAAATGGGTAGATCCCGAGTAGTCTTATGTCACTGGTCTTTAAGCTGGGACGCCGAAGTGCAGCTAGGGACATAGAATATTGACAGCGATCCGTACCAGCAGTTCCAAGCCCCTTCCTCCTCCACCCAGTTACTCCCTGAGGTCCTCTGGACTTCCTGTCAAACCAGCAATTCAGGGTTGCTGCTCAGGGTGATTGTTTGGGACCGGGAATACCAGTTGTGGAATAGTTTGAGCATCTGTTGTTGAATTTACCTTTGGGCATTTCCTAAGAGAATCTGCTGCATACCGAGGACTGGGAAGGTGCGTGGAGTCACGTCATTTAGATCCTGCAGATCCTTCAACTGCCTGACACTGATTCACAGTCCAGACCCTTCAAGCCTAAAGGGATCCTGGAAGTTTTCCTGGGCAGCTCAGAAGCTGGTAGCCAGCCTGGCCTCAGTGGGTAGGAACAGTGTGTAAAGAATGTGGCTTTGTCCCAGACACACTCCCTCTGCTGTTGTCCCTGCCTCAGGGGAAGGGCTTGCTGCCTTTCTGTAATTTCTATGTGGGTCACTAGTCCTGGCCAGGAGGGCTGTGATCACGCCCAGCTTAATTCAGACATAATGCGATCACTGGGGCTCTCAAAGTGCAGAGTTTGCAGGGTTCACAGGCTGGTGTTAACCGTATGATTAGGGGCCCACACAAACACCCCACGGCCTCAGGCAGCCACAGAGGAAGAAGGAGACAATGTGCAGGAGGCAGCACGCTGAGGTGGCCGGTGCACCCAGGCCCGCAAGGAACCTGGTCTTCAGCACTGGCACTTGGAGCCCAGGGTCCACCTCAGCAAAACCATTTGGTGTCACACACTTGCAAATACAGCCCAGTAGGTTCTTACTAAAACATTCCAATGACTTCTTAAAAACAACTTCATTGAGATATAATTCATATATCATACAGTACACTCATTTAAAGCATGCAGTTAAACACTTTAAAAAATATTTTCAGATATGTGCAACCATCACCACCATTAATTTTAGAATATTTTCATTACCTCAGAAAGAAACCTGTACCCTTTAGCAGTCACTCCCTACTCCCCCAACCTCTCAGTCCACTAACCTACCTTATGTCTCTATAGATTTGCCTACTTTAGACATCCACTATGCAAGTATGTAATTTGTAACCTTTTCTGACTGGCTTCTGTCACTGAGCATCATGCTTTCAAGGTCCATTTATGAGTAGCATGTGTCAGCACTTCACTCCTTTTTATGGCTGAGTAAGATTGCATTTGCGGATAGACCACATTGTGATTCTGATTGGCATTTCCCTATCGATGAGAGATGTTGAACATCTTTTCACATGCTTATTGGGCATTGTACCCAATGCATTTTTATAAACTGCATGACATAGCTTACATGCAAAAAAAAAAAAAAGCACAGAGACCATCTGTGTTTATTTAAAAGAATAATTATAAAGCACCCGTACCGAGGAACAGAGTATTGCCAGGACTCCGGAAGCCGTCTAGGTAGCTCTCACCAACTACAGCCCCTTGCTCTGGACACTAGGGACAAGCCCTGTCGTGGTACTTGTGTTCCTCATCGCTCCCCTTTCCATACATCCCCTCTGTATGTGCCCTGAAGAATCCAGTTTTGCCCACTTTGAACTTGATACAGATGAAACAGTTCTATGGAAATCTTTCGATGGCTCCTTTCCTCCCTGCTGGTTTCTGTGGCCGTTGGCTGACGCTGCCCTGCACTGTGCTGTTGAGTACACACGCCTCAGTCCATTCATTCTGCCACGATGGACGGACACCCAGAGGGTGCCCGGTTTGGCATCGTCATGAACACCGCAGCCGTGAGCGCCCTGGAGCCTGCTTCCTGTACACGCATGTGTAGGTTTCTCTGGGCCACACAAGTCGCACGTTTTCTGTGCGTCTTCGTCATTGGGAACACCGCCGTGCCTGCTTTCCAGACAGCAGTGTGTGCAGGTCCCAGGGGCTCCGCGTCCTCGCCAGCACTGAGCAGCAGAGGAATTCGTCTGGCACCCTCAGCATTTCTTGGTCAAAGTCTTTGACGGCACCGAGACCTCAGTCAGCCAGCCGCCGTGCCTCAGAAACAGCACCTACCCCTGCCCCCAACATGTATCCCACCTCTGAGCCTCCCACCTTCCACATGCTTTTTAGGCCAAGGTGGAAAGGTGGGCTGGACATCTGGGAACTCTGTCCTCACTGATGACCAAAAGGGACATCTGTGTTATTTGGGTGGCTACTCATCAGTACCGGCTCTAGGCGTGTGGAGGTCGCGTGAGGGTATTGACACCTAGTATGTGCTCTGTCACACTAGGTGTCCTGCTAGTCCAGCTCCTAGCCAGTCAGAATTTCAACATTTGCAATGTTTGCAGCATTGCTGGCTTCTTTAATTGCAAGTACTATGGTTGAAACACAGGTGACCCTGCCTCCCTGTTGATTATATTGACCAAGCACTGGTCAGCTCCTCCTGGAAGCGGGCAACTAGGGCTGGTCAGACCGTCAGTAAAGGCCCATTCTTGGTGCCAGACCTCTGTGTCCCCAACACCCACACAGGTGCAGCACAGACGGCAGCACTGATGACTACTTTCCGAATGTCCGTTTCTGTTCTGCCTGTGTCAGAAATGGTAACATTGCCTTCACTCCACGTTTCAGTGAAGGCAGCTGAGCCCCAGAGACGGGCTGTGTCGACCCCAAGGCACACAGCTAGCAAGCAGCACAAGCACTGGGGCTGCCCCTCAGCTGTGGGCCTCTGATGCCCCGCCCACCAGTGTGCCCGCTCTAGGAGTTGGCTGAGCCTCAGCTTCTCTCTGTGAGTAGGACCGTGCTCACCTGAAAGAGTTAAATAAGTCGGCATATAGAAAAGCATGCGTCTGGTGTGTGTACAGGTGATTAATAACTGTTCGGTTATTTACTAATTTATTCACTTATTCTTTCACTGTGCAACCGGCAGAAGTAATTTGATCATCTGGAGGAAGGACTATGAAAGTGCTCACATACTGTGATGCAGAAACTATGCTCACTCACACATCCCCATCCAGTGCCTGGTACATAGTAGGAGCTTAATAAATGTCTATTAGGATGAAATAGGCTGAAGATGATAAGGAAGGAAGAGAAGCTTCGGTTCCAAATATACTTGCTTCCACATTATATATAGTTAAAAAGAAGGAAAGAAGGAGAAAAAAGAAAGGAAGGGGGAGGGAAGAAAAGTTAAAAAACAACAACACTGAAAACAATGTAAATACCCTGTACTATGGGGGGAGGGGTGGTAAATTCTGCCTTCTTTTATCACCAGGATATTCCAAAGCTGAGGTTAGCAAAACATGGCCCACGGACCGTGTCTGGCTTTATATATGTAATAAAGATGAAATGAAAACCGGCCATTTTGTTTTGCCTGTCCTTGAACTTCACAGTATGTTCTCTTTAGTGTCCAACTTTTTTCACTTAACATTACATCCTAGAGATCTGTTCTTCTTTATTAGGAGTTCATTCTTTTTCACTGCTATCTAGTAATTCATCGTATGGTTACGATTAATCACTATTTATTATTATCCCCATTCTGTATATGAAGACACTGCAGCACAGAGGGCTGAAGTAAGTTGCCCAAGGACACACAGATTAGTGTTAAATCTGGAATTTGAACTCAAAGTCCAGAATCTGTGCTGCAACCACCCCTCCCACATACAGTGCTGCCTTTCGTGAAATGATGATGGAAGCCCAAGGGTCTCAGGAACTCAGAGGAGGGGACACAGCATCCATCCTGGTAGCCAGGGAAGCATAAATCAGAGCCATGGTTTCCATATTTATATGTCCACAGGGCCTGGCAGGTATCATAAGTGATCAAAGCACTTGACCATAGTTTAGGGCCAGGGATGTAAGAGGGAGCAGTGAGGACTATGGCAAATTGAAGGCTGCCAGCCAAGAAGACACCTGCTGGTATAGCTCCAAGTGTTGCTGCCATATGACAATACCGGCAGAGACTGTGGTGAGCCAGGACACAGCAGGGCAACCAGGCTGGCATTTGTGGCCAGATTCTATGCCAGGAAGTCAGCACCCAACTGCACCAGTTATTAAATAATTTAACTATCACTCCAGAGTTGCCAGATGTACTTTCTGTCTGAAAAAAAAAAAAAAAGGAAACCTTGGAAGTCTACTTTTAAGTCCTCTGGTTCCAAAATTATTTTAAACCTGTGCGGACCAAAGAGAACTTATGTGTGCTCTGAACTGTTCTGAACAATCTAAGGACCACAGGGGACCTGGGAGGCAATGAAGGCAAGTTAGTTCCAGGTGGAAGGCACAGCGCAAGGGCTGGAGATGAGAGGAATTTAAATCCAGGCCTGAGTTTCCTGCACCAGAAAGAAAAACGAAAACCAAACCCAGCTAGTTGGGGGAGGGGGTTGGCCGGCCTGGATGGCGCATGCAGTGATGTGCACTGTGTTCTTCCCGCCCCACCTCTGCAGATCCTGGAGGAGAACATGAAGCTGGAGTGTAAGTGCCACGGTGTGTCAGGCTCCTGCACCACCAAGACGTGCTGGACCACACTGCCACAGTTCCGCGAGCTGGGCTACGTGCTCAAGGACAAGTACAATGAGGCTGTACATGTGGAGCCTGTGCGTGCCAGCCGCAACAAGCGGCCCACCTTCCTGAAGATCAAGAAGCCACTGTCATACCGCAAGCCCATGGACACGGACCTGGTGTACATCGAGAAGTCACCCAACTACTGCGAGGAGGACCCCGTGACAGGCAGCATGGGCACACAGGGCCGCGCCTGCAACAAGACAGCCCCCCAGGCCAGCGGCTGTGACCTCATGTGCTGCGGCCGTGGCTACAACACCCACCAGTATGCCCGCGTGTGGCAGTGTAACTGCAAATTCCACTGGTGCTGCTATGTCAAGTGCAACACCTGCAGTGAGCGCACCGAGGTGTACACGTGCAAGTGAGCCCGAAGACCGGTCTCCAAGCTGCACTCACCCTGGCAGGTCACTTCCCAGACTTCCACAGGGAACTGCCAGAATGCTGAGCTTGTCTGTTCTGCTGCAGAGGCACTTGCAGGGTTTCCTGCAGGACCTGTGGGAAAGGGCTCTCCAGGGCCCTTAGGGGTTCTAGTCCACCCCCAGTGCTGCTCCAACTACTGCGGGCCAGCCTGGGGCCTTCTTAGCTGCAGCCGAGCCTTCCATAGCAGGAACCCTGGATCTTTGGGCCTCATCATAGCAATATTTAACAATTTATTCTGATTTTAAAAGTAATATTAATTTATTTAATTAAAAAAGTCCTTCCACTCATTGGGATCCGTTTTCTGCAAAATGGGCTGTTTGCTTTCTTTGCAGGAAAATGTTGTCGCTAGGACAAGAAGCCAGGTACAACTGTACAAAATTATTCTTTATGCAGACATTTCTACTAGTTGATTCCCCAAATATCCCTGCACTAGATGTTTAAGAACAGAGATGTCCGTGTCCTTTACATATGTAGATATACATACACTTTTTTTTTTTTTTTTTTTGCTGTTTGCTGCTACTTATCCAGAAATTTAAGCTGGTCCAGATTTGGAGACATTTTTTCAGAAAACATCTCCTATTCTTTAGTTCTCCCCACCTCAGACTTCACCCTTAGAAAAATTGAGTTTGGAATATGTAGAAAGAGGAGAGATAGTAACTCCCAGCAGTTTCTATCTTTTAGAAAGTGAGCTTCTGGATAAGAGAGAATATTTTGTAAAAGACTATTTTTATATGAATATTTTATTTATATTGAGCCTGACTCTATCATTCCAAGGCCTGTGCTTCTTCTTAGTCTTGCTTTGGGGTCAGGAGGGCAAGGCCTGGGTATGGGGTCAGTCCCCATGAGGATGCTCATATGGCTGGGTTTCCGAGTTCTGTTGGCCACAAATGGGCAGAAGCAGCCAGTGGGTGCCGGTTCTGTGGTGTCATCCACGATGCCTGGGAAAGGAACTAGATCCTCAATTCCGCCGGTTAAGCTCAGGCCTTTAGAGCAATGTCACTGAGTGGGGACCTCACGATGAGCCATGTGGTAGATAGTTCTGTGTGTCCTCAGCATTGCGTAAGCATCGCAGGGACTCAGTCATTGCCACTCGGCAGAACCCAGCTCAGGGAGCCTACTCCTTGCCAGAAAGCCCCTGCCATTACTGTGTGTCTCAAGGGGGTAAGGGTGAGGTGTAGACCTCAGTTATAGGGCAGAAAAGCTTGAGTGAGGAGTCCCCTGAGCAGTTGGGCTTCCTGGATGTCACAGTCCCAGGACAGACTATAAGACAGAGGGCTGGACAAAGCCTCTCTGCTCTGGGTCCACCTTCATCCAGTGCCTCTGAACTTGGAAAGCTTTCCTCAACGAGGCTGTGTGTGTTCTGCATCCATTGTGTTTGTGTGACTTTAGGGAGTATCTGGGTAGTCACTTGACTTTGTGCTTTCAAGTACCTCTGGGGTGCTGACGTGTGTATATCTTGTGTGCTCCTGTGTGTGCCCAACTATCTCTGTCTCTCTCCATCTGTGTGCCTGAAAAATTCGGCTGGTGTGTGCCTGTGCATGTGTGCCTATACATCTCTGCTTGTTTGGGAGGGCTTGTGGTGTTGAGTCAGACTACAGCGACCTTTGGCAATTGTGTGGAGCCACCAAGAGATGGCACCTCTGAACTCAATGCCCACAGACACTGGTTAAACTCAGGTACCTCTGAGACCACAGCCCCGTCGCCCCTTGCCCTGGGAGCCCCCCATGTCTAGGCTGTATTGGACACTCCAGTGTCAGCACTGGGCCTGGACCACAGCATGGACAAATAAAATGGCTGGATAGTTGGTTGATTTCTTCCCTTGGACCATGTTTTTCTTCTTTGGTGTCAGGATGGATAGGCTTGTGAAGGAATGAGCGGATGGATGGATGGATGGATGGATGGGTGGGTGGGTGGATGGGTGGATGGATAATAGGTGGATGGGTGGACGGATAGATAGGTGGATAATGGCTGGGTGGGTGGATTGATGGTTAGATGAATGGGTGGGTGAGTGGGTGGGTGGGTCACTGGGTAAGGGAGGAAGAAATGCAGAAGTTTCTTGAAGCCCCCCATGTCACAGTTTATGTCTGCCTTGGAAAACCCGCAGTGTCTCCCATGAGCAAAGAGGTTTCTCGAGCCTTCAGTCCCTTTGCTGTTGGCTGGCCTTCTGGCACCTGAGACTGAGGGAGGTTCCGATCAGCCTCTCCAGATGATTATTTAATGTTAATCACATAAACATGGTACCAGAAGTCATCCCTATGGGTTGCCTTGTTATTCAAATGAGGAGTGGGCCTGGCAGGAGGGCGGCTGGACTTGTGAGGAGAATGGCTGGGTCAGCTGCTGGCCTATCACTTGGCTCCTTAGCAAAGTGTTAGTTTCCAGCCTAGGGGCTTGCCCTCCCCCAGCTCAGCTGTGCTCTGAGCCTCAGTTTTCCAACCTTAGAAGTGGGATAAAAATACCTACCTTACAGGGCTGTTGTGATTGCATGGCACTTTGAGTTTCAAAGTGATGGATGGATACTAAATAGTATTATTATTATTATTATTACTATTCTTTCCACAATAATAAGATTCATCAAACACAGCTTATGACAATAAATATTTTACTCTGTGTTAGGCAAAGGTATTTTGTCCCCTTTGCTTTATTTCTAAAGTGCCTTTTCAATAACACTGACATTAAAAAGGCAAAAATTTTAAGAGGGAGAAAAATTAGAAAGTACGGGACTAGAGTGTTAAAAGCTCAGGGTCCTGGCGCGTTGTAACAACTGGGAAGTGAGCCGCTCCACAGAGGCCCATCTTGGCTGCATGGGAATGTGGGCCTCCTCATAGCCAGACTTTCCTCTGTCCGTGAGGAAACAAGGACTCTGATTTTTCAAGAAGGGCCGACCATCCGGTTCTTTAAAGTAAGATCTCCTATTTTGTTTTCTTTTGATGTATTAACAAACACCATAAGGATGGAGCAAATCATGACTGCAAGCTGAACTCGGCATCTGTACCACCAGGGTGCAGCCTCTGACTTGGACCAAATCTCTAGTTTTAGAGATGAAGAAACTGAGGCCCAGATAGGGGCCAGGGGCTTTATGCAAGGCCATGCAGCAAGCCTCACAGAGGGAAGGCCAAGGACAGGACTTGTGCCTCCTAAAAAGGTCACAGTGCACCCCTGAGGCAACGAAATAATGTGGAGGGGTGGGTGGGAAGCGTGAAGTTCCTACTTGTTCCAACGTACATACAGGGTGGGGCAAGAGTCGGTTTACAGTCATGAGTATGCAAAGCAGAGTATATTCCTGTATTGTTATTAATTAGTATATTATTTTCCTTATGAACAGCTGTAAATCTACTTTTCCTCACCCTGTGTGTGTTTTCACTTGTGTGTGCACATGCACTCACACCCCTTTGGACTTAAGTTCAGAGCTAGCTCAAGGCTCTGTGGGGTAATGGGCCGATGCCCTAAACCACTCCATGGGGGTGCCCTGGCAGCCAGCCAGGGGAACCCCAAACCTTTCATTCTCCCACTCACATCCCTTCAATCAAGGGAATCCCTTAGCAAGACCCAGGTTAGGAGAGTCCTGGGTTGACACATTTCTCTACCGGAGATGGAGCTGTTCCCTGTCATCTTCAAGGCAAATTTGTGACGTGTTTCCTGAGACCCTAGGAGGGCTCCCAATCCCACTTGCATATGAGAGCCAGTCTCAGGGAAGAGAAGTGACTTCTTCAAGACTCTACCGCTGGGAAGTGAGGAAACAAGGGCTTAGTCTGGGCTGTCCCACATCAGCCCCTGGCACTTGGTTCTGAGCCTTCTGCCCTCTAACAGAAGCTTAAGGAAGATAGAGAGAAAGGACTCCACGTGGACCACATAGGGCACCCAAGTCTCAGGCAGATTGTCATTGTCAGCTTTTTCCCACCTTACTGGATGCATCCAACAAGTCACCAAGATTTAGCACTTGTTCCCTGGGGGCATCGCACGGCTAATCCACCTTCCTCACTGACTCTGGCCACCATTGCCTCTCACCTAGGAGAACACCACCACCTCCTCCCAGGTCTCCCTGCTTCTACCCATGCCCCGTTAAACCAGCCTTCCAAGCTCTGGCTAGACCAATCCACTTCCTGCCTGTACCCAGATGTGGCTCCCCATTTTCCTGCAGATGAAGAGCAAGTTCGTGAGTCCTTCACAACCTGGCCTTTGCCGTGCTGGCAGCCTTGCCTCTGCCTCCCCTGCACAGCAGTAACAATGCTTCCATTTGTGAAGTTATTGCTCTGTGCCAGGCGAGGTCCTAGAAATTTTCATGGCTTCTCTCTTATCTTCACACCACCCTCTACAACTTGTACCTTTGCTGTGCTCTCTGCCAGGAGCAGTCACCTTCCTTCCCTCCACGTGACAGACTCCTGTTCCTCTGAGGAGCCCTTCTGTGCTGTTGCAGGAAAGATGGGATCTGGAGCCACCCTGTGCAGGTGGAGCCCTGTTATTATTCTCATTCTGAGCTCCTGAAATTGGAACCACACACTCCTTCACAGAGCTCCAGAGCCACCTTCCAGCCGAAGGCTGGGAGATGAAGGAATTCACCCACACAAATCACTGGCCGGACTCTATGACCAGAGCTCTTAGCCTTCTTGGGGAAGTGTATCAGTTAGCTATTGCTGAGTAACAAACCAGTTTCTTCAAACAACTATATCATTTTTCCTAAGTCTATGGATGAGTTGGCCAGTTATTCTGATCTCAACTGGGTTCCCTCATGATCTGCTGTGGGTCAGGAGGTAACCCTGCCAATCTTGGCAAAATTCTGTCATGTGTTTTTGGTTCAGCTGGCTACTGGGCTGGTCTAGAATGGCTTTAACTAGGACAAATGGGTCATCTGTCCCATGATCTCATCCTCCAATAGGCTACTCCAAGCTTGTTCACACCAGACAGGAAGAATTCCAACTGTAAGAGAAGAAGCTGCCAGGCTTCTTGA